AGAGCCCCCAGGCCCTGCCCATGTGTCTGTCCAAGGCTCCTGAATGTAACAGTACTCAGCACTGAAATTACAGAGAAAAGAACTAAAAGGAGGTACCCAGATTAGGTATTTGCAGTCAGAGATCTTTGGGCCATCCGGGACAGAATGGCAAATGCATTAACAGAGGCTGGGGCAGTGTGAAGGCTGCACAGGAAAAGGTCTCCTTTCCCAAGACTGGGGAGCAGAGATTTCCCTGCATTGGGGTCCTGAGACTTGCAGGAGCCCTGCCATCACCCCACAGCAACACTGTGGCATGATAGAAGGAGTTCTGACCAGTCTGGTGGCCCTGGTTCTCATCCCAGCTCCTTGATTCTCATCCCCCATCCAGCTCATGGAGGGTCAGAGCCTGTGTTCTGCAGCCCTGGCCTCCGTCTACCAGTATGGCAATTGAACAGGAGCGTTCTGCTGGAATGCCTGGCAGGTTATGCCACCACTTAAGCTTGTTCAGTCACTGGGTTTTCATCCTTCCCAACAGCCTGGGAGTGCCTCAGGGCCAAGATAAGTCTGATGTGCCTCTGTGAGCTCACATGGGGCTGATTGGATGCCTGCAAAGTCAGAACCTCCCATCTCCATGTACCTGCCAGTCTCTGGGGCTCTAGGAGTCCTTCTTGTCTGCTCTCTGCCCTGACACAGGACACAGAGGTGCCCCTCCTAGGCTAGCAGAATCTGGGTTACTCTAGGACCCTCCCCTCCACCCAGCCCTGGCCCCATCATTTAGTGACTCTGCTGTCCTAACACTTCCACGTCCAATTCCTTGACTATCAGATTGGTGGACCTTACTTACTGTGAGGAGCTCAGAATTAAGTGAACTGGTATAGGCAAAGTCCACACTCACCATTGTCATTATTGTTCCCTTTTCACCAATGAGAAGACAGAAGGGCGGTCAGTAGCAGAGCAGGATTTGAACCCAGATGTGGGTGGGGGTATGTTACCTTGAAGAGAGCCCTGGCTGGAGTTAGGAGATGTGGCTTGGCTGCCAGCTAGTTCTCTGGCCTGAGACAAGTCCCACCTCTGTCCTAGGCCTCTTTTCTATAAAGGACATTGGAGGATGGTATAACAACCTGTCAGAGCCACTCAGCAAACAGATGGCTGTTGGACTGATGTGGTTCCCTCCTAAGCTTCTATCTAGTAGGGCTGCTTGGCCATGATCTGGCCCAAAATTATGTAGTACCTTTGACAGAAAGCCCCCAAGGTCCATGTGGAGAGACCATCAAAGTGGAGCTGGGCCCAGAGGCTTGTTCCAGCCAAGCTGGCTTCCAGACACACATATTTGAGTCCCTCAAAAGCTTTCAGTAACTGCACTCCCACAAGGCCTATGGGGAAGTTATCCTACATAGGAAAACTGATCAGTGTGAGCAGCTCTGGGACTCCCTCCTTCTTTCACCTCTGCCACAGTCCTCTCCACCTGCCTGCCCCACCTGTCCAGACGTTAGGGGTGAAAGGTTCCTATCCGCACAGAGATCAGAATCCTCCAGCATGATCTGGTTGGTTGGTTTTGGTCTATTTTCTATGTAATATTTTGCCTGCATGGGTAACAGGTCAAAAAGACCGTGAAGTCCTTTTTCTCGAAGCTCACCTATAGGTCTCTTGTCAAGAAGGCTGGCTGGGAAGCCAGACAAGTCTGCCTGTTTGTGGCCGATCAAACTCAAGGCAGCAGAGCCCTTGCCTCCTAGTGGAGATAGACTACAAGCCTATCATTTTCTTTACAGAAGCAGATGTTTCCCTGAGCACAGCTCTGTTTGCTCCTGAGGATGTGCCTGGCTGTGCCAGGGTCCTGCTACCATGCTGCAGACAATCTCAAGGGCACAGGCCAGGCACAGAGAATGTAGTGACAGAAAGCTACAACCCGAATGCACGTAGTAGGGACACAGAAGATGTGGGTGGCCCTTTGGGAAGTTGTAGGTTGCTGGCTCCTGGTCTGTTGCAAGCTCCCAGGAGTGCCAGTGGCTGAACTGGCCAGAGCCTGGCCAGCATCTGACAGGAGGTGGGAGGGAAGCTTCTTGTCCTGGGGAGGGAAGTATTGAGCTTCATATTAGCCTGGTCAAGGTTGTGGTGTGATTTTCTGTCTGGTGACCTGTTGGCCTAAGCCAGGATTCCCTGGTCTTAGGTGTTCCAAACTCCAGCTTGTGAGCTACTGTTCTCCCCAGGTTCAGCAGCCCAGGGCCTCACTGAACAGCTTGCCGCTTAGGTTTTTATTGATCAGACTTATCACCCCAGCTCATTTGGGGACCAGTCAGAAGTCCAACAGGAAGCTTCTGAGGGAGGCACCTCAGGGGCCTCTTGGGATGCGAGTGCGGATGGGGGTCCCCAGACCTCCTCAGCAGTGAAGCAGACCCAGGTTTATGCGTTGGCTTGGCGTGATGACTGCTGTTCTGCAGACCCCAGGTGAGCGCCAGCTGCTCTTGGGCACGTCAGATGAGGGAGTCGACCATTACTGACCTTCCTTGATGAGTGGCACAGGGTTGGAAGGGGCTTGCCCAGAGCCATGCTGCTCACTTTGTGAAAGCGCTCCCTGTGTCCAGAGAGAGGCGAGGATGGTGAAGGAGGAGGCATTCCCACATCGACAAGAGCCGAGGAACTGACAGAAGGCCTTTTGCCCCCTCTTGGCAACCGGACCTCACCCTTGAACCATCCTCCTCCATTCTTTTTATTTTTCTTTTTTTGGGTGTTGGCTTCAAATTATCTTGTTTTGTTTACATTACACCCAAGTTTCATGGTACAAAAGACTTGCAGGTGCAAATATGTCCCGCCTTCATTAACTTCCCCTCCCTTTTTAATTTATGTGATTTCAATTTTCCTTCCCTGTACTGTTAATTAGGGGACCCTCTAATCAGTGCCATTATCACAGTGGTATTCATGTTTAGGAAAGCCGCTAAACAAATGCTTGCAAAATTGCTAAATGGCTAATTAATGTCTGTTAATTAAGAAAATTGCTCATGGTAACAAACCATGCCGTTGCTGGCAGCCGCTAGAAAGACACACACTTGTTGAAATTAGTAGCGTGGCAGGTAGGGGAACATCTGCTCCTCGGAGCTTTCCGGAAGTGAGCAGCCCCTGGATCAGCCAAGAAGCTCCCAGGCCTGTTGCCAGTGGTGCCCTCAGGTTCCTGTGCAGTTCTCTGCATCTTGCTCTGCGCACCTCTTCTGCCTCCACACCCACCCTCTGGCCCGCGCTTTGCTCCTCCTTGGGACTGGGCTGAGTCCCCCTAGCAAGCAGAGCCTGGTGGCCCAGCTTTGAGGAAGAAGACTGGGAGTTAAAACTACACTTGCATCCCCATGCAGATTTTGAACTTTTCTCAAAAAACTTCCAAAGCTAACAGCAATATCTGGGTGGAGATAAGTACATTGGGGTGTGGCTCCTGTCCCAGCACCAGAGTCCAGCTCTGAGCCGCCTGGGTGGGCCAGAAAGTCCTTCACACTTTTAGACTGTGACCCACTGTCAGTTTTCTCATAGTAGGAAACTCCTTGGGATTGGGTCCTAGTCTAAAATACTCTCTCACAGCTCTTTGTGTGTCTCTCTCTCTCTCTCTCTCTCTCTCTCTCTCTCTCTCTCTCTCTCTCTCTCACACACACACACACACACACACACTCTCACACCCACACTCACATACTTACATATACACGTAAAATAGAGAATAGTTCAATCCCCGGTACTAGGGGTTGAACCCAAGGGCGCTTAACCACTGAACCACATCCCCAGCGCCCCACCCCCCTTAAATTATTTTTAGACAGTCTTGCAAAGTTGCTGAGACTGGCTTTGAATTTGCGATCCTCCCACCCAAGACAGGCACCCTCCTAAGATACCCGCCTTAAAATACTCCCCCTCCCCCCGCCCAGTTTCAGGTTTTTAAAAAATAATGGTTGCAACCCACTAAATCAATTTCACCGTCCACTGATTGGTGCAACCTGCAATTTGACCAACCCCATAGTTTAAGAGCATTTATCTCCCTATCTCTTCTGTATAGGGAGGTCAGCATAGCCAGGGCTCTGGGTCAGCTTGAAGCTGCAGGTGGCTCACCACCAACTGGTATGGAAAGACCCTCAATCCACTGACCTACCCAGCGGTCAGGAATCTCCAAGCCCTCCCTCACAGTCCCCTTGACCCTGGGCTGCAGGGGTAAAGGTAGGCCTTAGATCATTGAGCTTCTCATTGTGGTGCTGCCACTTACCAGTTGTGTGGCCATGGCCAAGTGCCTTTATCCCTTGAGACTGTTTCCTCACCTGTAAAAATTAGAATGAGAGACTCCACTTTACAGGACCATTTCACAAACGAAAGAACCCAGCACTGCTTACACTGAGTGGGCACTTGTTTGTTATTTCATTACCCCATTGTTTCAGTCTATGGGGCCACTTTGTTCCTTCTGCCTCTGTCCTTGTCTATCAGTGCCCCTGTGGCACTCCCCCCAGTGGGCGTGGCCTGGACCTCTCCCTAACCCATGATTATTCCTGCTTCAAGTCACCAAGTTACCTTATCCTGATCCCCCAGACTGTGAGCTCCTCAAGGGCAGGGACCTCCCCTGATTCTTTCCCACATCCCTTGCAAGCGGCACGTGCACGCTTTGCATTTGGGTCCAGGTGGCTTTTGTCTGCACATCATTGTACCCTCTGAGCCCATCTCAACCAACGTATTTAACATGGCAAACTATGCTCAGACGGTAGACTGTGTCTGGACCTTGCTCCTGTGTGCTTTGACAGAGGTGCTTCATTTTAGTTTTCTTTTCTTCTGAATCCCCTGTGAATGTATTGACCAGCTTCCCTCCCTCTCCCTCCCGCCCGCCCGCCGTTTTACGCCATTGAGCTGGCGACCTAAGCAGCAGCTCCACCACCTCCCGTCAGCCAGAGCCCCCACCTGCACGCCCGCCGCCACCCTGCGTTTTGGTTGAATTTTTGTTCTTTTAAGCTTCTTCTGCGCTTCTCCATGTGCTGTGATCTATAACCTGCCTCTACTGTCTGGCCTCACAGGGTCCTCCGGGGTCACAGCCCTCGCCGCACGCACAGCCTCCACCTCACAATCCCAGCAGCATGATGGGACCCCACAGTCAGGTAAACGCACTGTGGCTCGCCCGCCCGCCGGGGGGCGCGGGGCAGGAGGAAGGAGAGAGCCCACAGAGGAAAAACAAAAATCAAAACGTGCTCCAGCCATTGCCTTCGAGTCTTTATGGACGAATTGAATTTAAAAAAAAAAAAATTTTTTTTTTCTCCTAAAGATAGTCTTCATTCCTTGGACATCACACCCAGCTTGGATATGAAACCAAGAGAAAAGAAAAAATATTTCTGTGACCTTGTCAGTGGCCTTTGCGTTTTTGTTTTTTCCTCTCTCACTTTTGGTTTGGTTTTTGAGTTTGGTTAACCATTCGTTTGTAACCGAAGCTGCATCCCTAGCCTTTCTTTGTGTGCTCTCGCTGCTGAGAAAGCTTTCTCGCCCATCCCCCTGCACTGAGTTAGGGCGCCCGCGCTGTCCCCTTATCGTTTTCCATTGCGTTTCCCCCTAAACCCTCGCTCCCTTCCCATGGCTCCCTGTCAGTAGTTTCTCTGTGTATGCACATGTGTGCGCACGCGTGCGTGGCGTCCAGCTCTGTCTGCAGACCCTGAAGACGTTATGTATGAGACCTTTTCCTTACTCTTTTATTTGCCCTTACGGAGAGCAGAGGTGTCCTCCCTTGCCCCTCGTTGATTTAACTGTTCTGCATCCTGCGCAAAAGTCCCAGCCGCTGCCCCTTCACCCAAAGTAGATCTCCGTGGACCAGTGCAGTGTGGGAGACATTTGTTGGTGGATCTGTTGTTTCCTCTGCCCGTGGGAAGTTTTGCCCAGAGGGAAGAGGCTACGGGGAGGAAGAGAGCTTAGAAGATCACTAGTTGTAACAAACTGGACTTTGTGGATTGGAGAGCGTTTGTGTCTGTTGCTGTACAGTAGTGCAGGCTATCATTGAACTAATTCCCTGTAATTGCAGCCTTTTATGTCACCGCGATACGCAGGCGGCCCCAGGCCCCCGATCAGAATGGGAAACCAGGTACTGTACCTTTTCATGTTCTCTCTCCTCTCACTCAGCCATCATTGGCCTTAGGTGGACTCTGACGCAAATCAGTATTTGGGAGGAGGATTGAGGGGTAGAGGGACAGGTTTTAAGATTGGGGGTGTGGGGTGGGTTGCTTACCAACAAATTTTCTCTAGGCCCATGATGCAGCATTTGCCCTGCCTATCCTGGCGGCATCCTGTCCTAGGGTTCAGAGGGCAACAGCAGAGGCAACCTGGGAGGGATTGCAGGGTCTTGGCTCTTCTAGAGAAGGTGGTAATGCCCGTGCCCCTCCCTTCCAGCCCTTTCTTGGAAGAGGGTCTTCCTCCTTAATGAAGTTAATTGACAACGTGCATTTTTTCCTGGAAGCTTTTGAGAATTGCCAAGGCTGGTAAATATAATCCTGCTATTAGGGGGAGAAATGGCCCATAGGAATGCTTAGATCAGGAGCCTGGGTAGAGCAAAGCAGGGTATTTGGGAGTTTTTAAGAAATGTCTGCTTACTTCCTAGACTCAAAACAAGGAAGGATTTGTTCATTTAATTGGAAAAGTGGTCTGCTAACGAAGAGGTTTTTCAACCAAAAACCTGGGTCATTTGCCTTACTCTGGCCAATGCGGGTTGTCAGTTCTAGGTGGTCTGGGGAAAGCCCCCCTTCCTGGTTGAGCCCTTCAGGGCGGGAGGTGAGCTGGAGAGGTAAAGGCGAATAGATGATGCCTCTTTTGAACATAGACAAAAACAACTTTAAAGAAACATCAGGGAGATAGATATCTTTTGTGCCAAAATATTTTTTTTACAGAATATTTTTTCAGTGACTTTGCAAAAGTCCTTCAAAAAAATCGGACAACAGCTCCAGCACATCCAGCGCTTGTTGCCATCGGAGCTGGGAGTTTAGTCACCAGTTACATTAGCGTATCTGAGTGGGATTCTTTCCATTCTTGAGGCCCTGCAGAAAAGCCCGAGTGAGATGATTCAGGGTGGAGAGAGACTCAAATACAGGGGCCTCTGATTTTAATGTGAGACTGTTGGTCAGGTTTCCACCTTTAGATTTCCTTTCATAATGTCCTTTGTGTCCTGTTTTTTTCCAACATAAAGGGAACAAATTTGCACATAAGGAATTAGTGACCTAGCTCCAAAAAAGGGATCCTTAAACACATTGTAGAGTTCGGGCTCACAGTGAGCTGGGCTCCAGTCTGTCCCCAACTTCCAGCCATTGTTGGTTCCACTCTGCCCCGCCCACTCACTTGGCTTTCATAGGTGAAAGTGGCTTCCCCTGCCTCTGTTTTGACACAGTGTCACCAAGTGAGCTCCTTTACCATTGCACACATGGACCCCAGAGCAGCTTTCCCGCTTGCCCGCTTGGTGGCTCTCCTTGGCCAAAACTGGCCATCACCCTAGGGAGAGATCGAATACTTCCTGATGGTAATTGTGATTGTGGCCCTTTCTCCAGCCACTAAGTGATGGAGAAGGGAGCGTGTGTCTCTATTCAGCAATTAAACATGAGTGATCTGCACCTTGCATTGCAAACAATTTTCCCAGTCTTCCTGCCATTTCATAGGAAATTCTCAAATTTTCCAATATCCTGTGAACTCCAGAAATCTTTGTTCTTAAAGAGGAGTGTGCCCTTTCCACAGGTATTGCCCCTGAGCATTTCTTGGAGAGTACCTCAGTTACTCCCCTCTCCTGCAGCCAGTGGCGGAAACAGAGGCAGGGGGACTTGCTTGGGCTCAAGGGTGGTAGGCAGGGTGATCAGGGGAACAAGCAGCCAGTGGTCGCTCACTTGGCCTTGAAGCTTTGCAAGGCCAGCCTCCCACCTGCTTCCCTGGTTAGAGGTTTGGGTCTCTATTTAGAGTGCTGCTGTTTTTCAAGCCAGGGTGGCTTGGGTAGGTGGTAAACAGTGGGGTTCAGTTAGGTTTAGTAAAGGAGGGGCTAGAATCTGAGTTGTCAGATTGCCCTTTCACATTAGACCTTCACAAAACCCCCAGACTCTGCTGGTGTCCTGGTGGGCAGGTGAGTGAACTGCAGGGGCAGCTGACCAGTCGTCCATTTTCTGGACAGATGCTGCCTGTGCCTCACCCTCCAGTGCCACAGAAGAGCTGGCCTACCTTCAGTAGCCTGTGTGACAGTCCCAGAGCACCTCTTTACTCTGGGACTGAGGGGGTGTGCACAGCATGATCATAGTCCCATCTAGCAGCTGATGCTTTTCTGTTTGCTTCTGTTTGAGAGCCTCTGCCTTCTCAGTGTGAGACCCGTTTTCTTCAGTCATTGTATTCCTTCCTTCTCTTATAGAGGAAGCCCAGACTTTCCTCTCCCTATCACAGGGTTACCTAGTGAGGGAAGTGAGTCTCCGGGCTCTCTGAGCCCCTGGATAGCCCAGCTCTGCTCCTAGTGTCCTGACACATACCAGGAAGAGCTTTCTGTAAGAACTGGTGGTCAGTGTGGGCCTACCTGGAGAGGGAGTGAGTACCTGACCCCTGTAGCTGCTCCATCAGGGTGGGTGTGCTGTTTCTGCACTGGGTAACTCAGGACCCTGAAGGATCCCACCTCAACCTCCTGGGCTCCCCGAATCCAGACAGCCTTAGAGACAGGCCTTCCCGAGTCCTCACAGAGTCCTATAACCAGGCCGTATAAACCCTCAGCCCAGGTGAGCAGACCCAAGCCAGCCAAGTAATCCAGAGCTTGGGAACTGGAGGTGAGGAAGCTGGGTGAAAGCCAGGGGTGGCACAGTTAAAACCCAGGATCAGGAGAGCCTCCAAGCATCCCCAGCAGGTGGGGGCTGCAGGTCCAAAAAGCCACCTTCTGAGCAGGAGGTCTCTTCCAAGTTCCAGGGCTTATGTGGCTGCCCTGCCCCGAGCCACACCCCTTCCGTTATGAAGCTAGGGAAAGCAGTGAAGGTCTACTCCTTTGTTTCCGACCACCTTTTTCCAAACCCGCTGGCGTTCACTGTTGGGCCAAAGATAGATGAGCTTCAAACTTGGCTGGCCCCACTGCGGCCACCAGGGGCAGACCCCTTATCACAGGGGTCTCACCCTTCAGAAGCTCTGGTGCCTGTAGTTGGGAAACAATGCTGCTTTCACCAAAGACTTCCTCCCAAAGTCAAGAGTTTGGGTTCTAGAGAGGAGTGCTAGAAACATGCTTCCCATGGTTCTTTTTTCAAATTGTAGCTGAAATAACTTTCATCCCCAGCAAATTATTTTGAATAGGTTGTCATAGCAGGTGTGCCGAGCACTCCCCCAGGAATTCTGGGCACCCTGTCTCACCTCCTTCATAGCAGCTCCATCAGTGCCACCTGCCACTCCACAAACTTTGGCAAGCGGGCTCTGCTTTAGCATGCCTCGCTTCTGTGCCCACAGCCCCCTTGTCATCCTGGGGCTGGGAGACCTGGGCACTTGTCCTGGCTCTGCTGATGAATATGTGGCTGAGGGCCTCTGGGCCTCAGCTTTCCCATCTCAATCTCTAAGGTGTTTACCCCTGTTCACCTATAGAAGGGTGATAATATGGTGGTAATATGGTTTTAGCCAGTGGGTCTCAGTCCCTGTAACTTGAAGCTGGGGATGAAATGAGTTGCAGCTCTGAAAGAAGACTTAACATGGCAGCTCAGGTACAGGCAGCTAGAAAGGAGGGAACTCTGCTGCCCCGGGGCAGGTGGTGAGCATTGCATTCTCTGGCCTGACCTGGAGAATGTTCTGCCTCATTTCAGGGATCTGGCAGGCAGCATAGGTCCTGACGGCAGGGCAGTGGTTCCTCGCCTACTGCCTAACCCCATTCCACCCTCCCTCCATCCCCTCACCTGGTGTCGAAACTGGAACTAAGGCTCACTGGAGCTGACTGCTTTGTGCTGGGGGACCCATCCCAGTTGACAGGCAGCAGAAATAGTCTCAGGGAGGCTATGAATGACCCCAGGCGGCAGTTGGGGCAGGCAGATGCATCCCCCGCATTCATCAGCTCCAGGGAGCAGCTCCTTAGCTTCTGTCTCACATGTCTTTCAGCCTCCAGGAGGAGTTCCTGGGACACAGCCATTGCTGCCCAATTCCATGGATCCCACCCGACAACAAGGTAGAGAGGGCAGGGTGGGGCAAGCAGCCTGTGGCACCAGGAGGGCTCCTCCTTGCTCTATCCTACCAATCCCTGGCTTACCTATTCTCTCTTGCAGGCCACCCCAACATGGGAGGATCAATGCAGAGAATGAACCCTCCCCGAGGCATGGGGCCTATGGGTCCTGGGCCACAGGTAACCAGCCATCTTTCTGACCATCCATCTCCCCGGCCATCTGTGTGCACCCGCCTTCTCTCCTCTTTCCAGTCTGTCAGTCTTCCCTGTCTGTGGCTCACAGGGGTAAGAGGGAAGGTGTGTTTGGGTCCCTAAGCTCCCATCCCTACCTGTAGTGGGCTGGCCCTGCACACAGCCAGAACAGCCCCTGGGTAGGCTGAGTTAAGGTACCTCCAGGGAACCTGGGGGTGGGGGACATCTGAGAAGTGACCCCAGACTCCTCTAAGGTGGGGTATCCTAGCATGGGATTGAGGAATTTGAATGGCAGAGGGTATGGTGGCCTTAGCTGTGATGGGGGCCTCCAGGAATCCCAAAGCCACCTCTTTCCCTGAGTGGGGTAGACTCGATGGCTCCAGGGTCACAGTGTGCTGACCCACAAGTGAGCCTGTGAGTGGCTCTCCTACTTCTGCCTGCCACTCACCATTTGTCTGTCCTTGGATGAATCATTTGTAGGCCTCAGCATCCCCACCCTTTCAAATGAGGAGTGAGTTTTTATCCGTGTTCTCTGCCATAGGAGGAGGCCAAGTTGTGCCTAACAACCACGTTAACCCCAGACCTCAGCCAGCTTCATACACCAGTTTCTGCCCAAGATTCCTTTTGACCAGGGGGCTCCATTACGAAAAAGGGCAGTTTAGAAATTCCTATAAGAAATAATTTCAAGTGCCCAGTGCACCTCTTCACAATTGTTATCCCTCTGACACAGCCCCACATCCCGCATGAAAGGACCACATGCGCAATGGTCTGACAGGCCATTCTTGCTTGGATCCTTCTCACAGTTGTTCCACTCCTCTGAGCACTTGGCTGTGACAGAGTTTGCCGTGTTCCACCCTCCCTGGGCATTCTCTGATTGCCCACAGGAGCTAGAAATCTGAGTGAGAAGTGAGAGCAGGAGGTTTTGTTCTAGGGCATTCCTTCCCGGATTTTCTGCCCTGCCTGGAAGTCTGCTTGTCTTGTCTCTCCCTCCCTTGATTGAGGTGTTTGGGGTTCCCTGGGCCCCCTCCAGGTTTCTGCTTCTCTGGGGGGTAGAGCAGTACCTCCCCCACGCCCACCCCCGCCACACACACACCCATGCTCTCTTTCATGGGGAGGTGTCTGTTCCGTCCTGGAATCACACATGCAGCAGAGCGGCCGCAGCCCTCTCCGTGGTAGGGGAACATCTGTGGTGTGGAAAGATTTTAGGGAGGTTCTTATCTTCTGCTGGTCCTGTAGTCCTAAAAGGAAGCAAGCCCACCACAACTGCAGCCCCAGTGTTCTCGTTTAATTCTTTCTCACATCATCCAAACTTCATGTTCTCAGCAGCTCCTTTTAAGCTTCCAAGGTGGCCCCGTCCTTTCTGGCCACTGTCTGGAGCTGACCTCTGCAAGGCCACCTATGGGAGGGGTCAGAGGATAGAGGCTAAAAGCCATGTCTCCAGAGTAAGAAATGCTTCTTGATCCCCTTGGCTTGAGCCACATAGCAGTCACTTCCTCTTGGTGTGGAATCAGCAGTGGGCTCAGATTTTCAGAATGCCATGGGGGATCTAGTCAATTCAGGAGGGTGGAGTCTGAGGGGGGGGAGTTAATCCCACCACCCACTGTGTGGGTTCTGAGAGGCTCTGAAGCTGCATCTGTAAAATGGGCATGAACCTAGTATCTGCCTATGGGGTTGCTGAAAGGAAGAGGGTCAGGATCTTGTATGATGCATGGAACTCGGTAGCCCCCCCCCCCACCTGAGTAAGTAATTTGTTTTCCAAATTTGGGGACTTAAAACCAATGTTTGGGTGTGGTGATTGCAATTAGCTTCTATTTTGTTTTGTCTTTTTCCTGGTGAAATCGTCAACAGTTTGTTAAGCCTGTAGTTAAGATAGAGGTTCTAGAAGCTGGAAATGTGTGTATCAAGAGTGTCTGAGGCAGTGTTCCGGAAGCATAGGACTTCCTTCTCGCTTGATGATTGTGTCATCATGTCAGTCCAGCACACTTCTTTGGGCACCCCCGAAAGAGGTGAGGGTCCTGGAGGCTGAGATTTTGCTGGGGAGGCTTTCCTGGCCTCACCAGGCAGTGTGCAACATTGTGCAAGGGATGGAGCTCCCCAAGCTCTGAGGACCATACCCTGGGAGGCTGGGGCAGGAGGATCACAAGTTCAAGACCAGCTTGGGCAACTTAGTGAGACCCTGTCTCAAAATAAAAAGGGCTGGGGATATGGCTTAGAGGTCCTGAATTCAGTCTCCAATGCAGAATAAAAAAGAAAGGAAGGGAGGGAGAAAAGACAGTGGAGACCCTAAAGCGCTCTGCTCTTATCTTCCATCCCCCCCTGGCAGGGTGCAGTATTAAATCCCTCACTCAGCCTGGAACATCTGCACCACATCACTGGGAGCAGGAAGTTCAGGCCCTAGGCCTGGGCAAGGGTGGTGTGTGGGATGGATTAAAGGGTCCAGGGACAGCTAGAAAGTGGGCATCAGAGCTCACCTGAGCACAGCAGAACCTGGAAGCTTTGGACTCTAAGGCTGAGAATAGAAGACTCCCCCCCACCCCCGGCCCTTTCTCTCTGTCTCCTGAGAGTGTTGCCTGGGCATTCCCTGTGGACAGGAGAGGGGCAAGCTCAGAACTTGGTACTAGAAAACAGTTCTGACTGTAGTTACCTGGGTTGAACTTCTAGCCCTTTTTGTCTGCAAAACAGGCAGCCAGGCGATGACCTCACAGGGCCTCTTATGGGGCAGGGTGAGACAGTGGTTGTGGACACCGCTGTGGGGTTTTTGGATCCTTCCCCTTCCTGTAAGAACTGAGCTCTGCCTTGTGCTACAGCCCAGGCTATTAGAATGGGCAGCCAGCCCCTTCAGGCAGCCCTGAGTATGCACCCACTGCATGCACAGTGCCATGCCAGACACAGGTGGGACACTACTGGTCTGTAATTCCTAGTAGGGAATTGGAATGTATTTAGCCAGTGACTCCTCCAGAAGTTTCTGAGCAGAAAGCAGGTAGAGCGTGGTCATGGAGCTCCTTTGTAAATTCCAGAACTAAGCAGAGTGACAGTCCTTGTTTTGAGCTGCATCATGTTTCACCTAAACATCCCAAAGGGGCCAGCTGTCCAGGTGTTGCCCTGCCCATTGCGCTTAGGATTCAGACAAATTTTACTCTACTTTTGTAAAATGACCAGTGCCAAAAAGAAGGCAATACTTCCACCTAATCCATTTTTCTCTAAAAAATTATGTGTCAGTGTCAGGCAGTAACCTTTTGCCCCAGTGCTTCAAAATTGAATTCTCTTAGATGAGGCTAAAATTCCAGGCAGGGCTCCCGGTCAGACTCAGGTACAGAGTGTAACAAGACCCCACAGCAGACCCTGCAGATGTGATTCCCAGAGCCACTGCTCTCAGAGTGATTCTGATATTCGGGTTGAGGCTAGAATCAGATTACTATCTCCTGGCTTTTCTGCATTTGAGAAAATTCAGATGAAGGATAATCCATGATATTTAGGGATAATCCTGTGGCACCTGGAGAAACTGCATCTCTTGGGGCCCCTGCTGACCCAGGGCCAGTCCAAGCTCAGTGCCTGTAAGTAGGAGCCACAGAAAGCAGTGCAAAGATCAATAATCCAGGCTCAGAGCACCAGGGGCTGGGTGAAAAGGGAGTGGGACCCTTGATGAACCTCCCAGTGTGGGGTGGACTCCCTCTGCCTAGACAGCTTCTGGCCCCTCCGGCAGATGAGCGTCATGGCTAGATGGCTCTCCCTGTTGTAAGGTGAAGACAGCCATGGGAAGCACTGAGGTAGAGCTCGCTCCCGTGAGGACCTGCAAGAGGCAGCAGCAGCCCCCCTCTGTGGGCCCCTGCCTGCTGCTTGGTGCCTTCCTGTGTCATTACGGACCATCAGACCTCAGAGGCTGAGACCCAAAGGGTGGGAGAGGTTTCACTTTCTTTATGACTGTGGACCAGACCCTTCTACCCAGGGACACCCGAGTGCGTGGAGGGCAAGGAGTGAGGGAAGACAGGCCCCCATGAACATGGCCTCCCCATCCCTGCAGAGCAGTGCTGACAGCAGGTGAGGGGTGTCTCTGGTTAGTAACCAGGCCCCCCTACCTCCAGCAACCCATGTGCTGTGGGCAGGCAGGAGCCAGGAGGCAGCCCATTTCTCCTGAGTCTCTGCACCCAGGCTGCTAAGCTTCCAGCCCACTTTCACTATTGACTGACTTAGTGACCTTGATCAAGTCTCTGGCCTCTCTGGGCCTCCCAGTTGTCTTCTGTGAAGTGAGAGGTATGAGGGGCCCTCCCAGGGTCTGCAGGGGGAAGCTCCATGGGGCCTCCTTGCTGGCCCAGCGAGGCTCCTACAAGCTGGGCAGGGTTGGGAGCAGAAGGGTTGCCCCTGGAGCCCTCCAGCCCGGAGCCATGCTGCATGTCCAGCCGTTTTTCTGGAGGGAGTGCCTGTCTGAGGCCTTTCCCATGGCTAAGAGAGGGGCGGGCTGTAGCTACAGTCACTGGGGTTGTCACTTGACCTGGAAAACCTTTCCAGTGAGCTGGCTGTGTGCAGTGGACACAGTGAGCTCCTGTGCAGAGCAGGGGCTGAGCTTTGTGGAGGTGGGTTAGCAGCAGTCATGGGCCCTGGGAAGGGCCAGCAAGGCCTGTGCTCAGTGATGTCACGGCAGCATTGAGGCCTGTGGTGTGTGTTCTGTGGCTGCCATCCCAAATTGTCATGCATCTCCGGGGTTCACAAAGCACTTGAGAGCTGTCACTTCATGATCTTCTTAGGGCCCCATAAGGTTGCAGCTTCGTGGACTCTGTCCCCATTTTACAGATGAGGCATCGCAGCTGAGTCTTGGCCAACCTGTGGGGCTTCAACCCAGCTCAGCCATGCACAGTTGAGCAAAGGGCTCCCTGTGCCTCAGACCTCAGATTTTTAACCTCTAAAGTAGGGTAGTAAAGGAGTTGGCATGACCATTAAATGTAGATGATACACATAAAGTGCAAAGCACGGTCTGGCACCGGGAAAGCATATTTGTTATTTGTGTAATGTGCTAAAGTCACCAGCAAGTGGCCAAGCTTGAGGCCAGCTCTCTTGTGTGCTGACCTCAAATTTCTAGCTGCAACCTGCCCCCACTGACTCTAGGCCTTACTCCGCCAGGCAGCCTAGTACTGGGTACTATCCCTTTCATTGTCTGCATTTCATCTGGGATTCCTAGGTCCAGGCTTTTGCAGGTAACTAGACAGCAGGTGGCCCAGAGGTAGAAAGATTTGGGGAGGCGGTCCCTGGCTGAAGACCCCATCATTAGCCTGATGTTGCCTCCAAGCTTGTCAGCTCCAGCTCAACCTCCTGTTCAGTCCCCTTCCCACCAGGGGTGTGGCTAGGAATGCAGACTGAGGTCTGAAGGCCCAGGTTGAAACCCGCCTCTGCCATTTGCTGACCGACTTCAGGCAGATCTTTCTCTCTCAGACCTTCTTGTCTGTACATGGGACTAATACCAGTCTCATGCGGTTACCAGGACCAAACCAGGGACGGAGTATGAAGTGTACATGTGCTCAGCGTGGGGCTGCTCACACTGGCTGCTCCTTGGCCATTGGAGTTCCACCAGCCTGCTTCTTCCAAATTCCCCTGAAGGGCAGAGCCTAAGCTGCTGCAGGGCACACTTTACTCCCACACAGTCACTCCTTCGCTCCCTCACCCATCCATCCCTTCAGTGTTGGCCAGCCACGGCATGGAGTGAGGGCTGTGGTCACTGTCCACAGTGAGAAGGCGTTCAGGGTCCAGTGAGAGACGGACGGATGCATAGCCATGGCCATAACCCAGGGTGGTGTGGCCTTTGGGGGTGGGGTTTCTAAGGCATTCAGGGAGTAACCAGGACAGAGCAGGACCCTCGGGGGGGCTGGTGGGAAGGCTTCACAGAAACACTGCTGCTCACCCAGGAAGCCTCCAAGTGGAGATGGGAGGCAGGGCAGTTATTTCTGCAAAGAAAATAGCTCTCAGAGAGGATGTCAGGCAGCACAAGTCACAAAGAGGGGAACAGGCGAGAGGCCTGGGTGGCACCTGGTCTGCCTCACTGGCTTGTCCTGTGCCGAATCTGGATCCTGAGAATGTCTGAGTTTCGCTTAGACTCTCCTCACACCAAGTGGTGGGGGGAGTTGCAGGCGAGCAACTTGCTTGACAGCCGCGCGTTTTTGAGAACATTGTTAAGGCCCTGAAAACACATTGACTGTTGTGACTGTCCCTCTGTGCTGGCTTGTCATTGTCCCCACCACTTGGTCCTCACCCTGTCCCACCTTTTTTAAAAGAATGTATTATTTTTCTCATCAGATCCTTTTCACAGACTAACCCTCTCACTTATATTCTGTCTGTTTCCCCTCCCTCCTTCTCTCTCTGGTTCCCCTTCTCCTTCTCATAGACTGACCCTTGGTTATCATTGCAGAATTACGGCAGCGGCATGAGACCACCACCCAACTCCCTCGGCCCCGCCATGCCCGGGATTAACATGTAAGGCAAAAGGGACTTGGCCAGGGCTCAGAGCCGTGGCTCTTCCCACCCTCTGCAGGCACCCTGGAAGACTCTTGATCATAAATCATTGCTGGTACCTCTCTGGGCCTCAGCCTCCTTGTCAGTAGAATGAGGATGCTGATGACCCTGGAATGAGAGCCCAGCCTCAGGCAGCAGGCACAGTTCTGGGCATGCTCCAGGGATCGGCTCTCCTAGTCTTCATGACAACCCTGCAAGGCAGTTGTTATTATCATTTGCAATGAGGTCACTGAGGCACAGAGAGGTAAAGTGACTTGCCCAGGCTCACACAACTTCTATTGGCTGAGTCAAAATTGGAACCCTTGTACAAATAGCCACTGTTCTCCGATGCTTCAGAGATTTTTAACTTTTGTGTGAGAATCTGTGGATGATCTACCTGGGAAAATACACATGTAAAGAAAATTTCATGTATTTTATATGTGAGTTTATAAATGAAATATATTTTGCAAATATCAATCATAATTTAAATTTATTAATCATAATTTCCACCTATGGAATTACCCATTCCTACTGCAGAGCCAGATACCCTTTGAGGACCCTAGGACTATATGAAGGATTTCCCTTTACTAATGTCAGCCCTCTCCTGCCCCTGCTGGCTCTACCCCTAGAGTCCACAGCACTATTTTCATTGTCTCTGTCTCTCTCTCCCTCCCAGGGGCCCGGGAGCTGGCAGACCCTGGCCCAATCCCAACAGTGCTAACTCAGTAAGTATCCAGGTCTGGTAGGGTGGTATTTGCCACAGAAGAGGTTTTGGGAGCAGAATGGCTCCAGTCCCCAAGTGGAGGTGTCAGAGGAGGGGAAAACACAATAGAATCCCACCTGATACCTCCAAGGAGAAAGTTATGTGGAAGACCACTAGAAACATCCTGGGTTATCACAGACTGGCTCCTGCCCTGCCCTGCCCTGCCCTGCCCTGCCCTGCCCTGCCCTGCCCTGCCCAGCCTTCTGCAGAAGCTCCCAGGTCTAAGCTGAGAATCTGGGCCCAGAGAGCAGTGTTCAGAGGAGAGAGTGGATAAGAAGCTCATTGCAGATAGTCCAGAGGGGAGGAAAGGAGCTGTCTCTCCTCCCTCCTACACTACAGGCCTCCTAGGCCCCTGTCCCCAACTCCTTCCCAAACTGGGGAGTAGGAGATCAGGCTCCTGGGACTGGTTCCGTGTGACAGAGAAGCAGGTTCCACTCCCATCCCCAGGCCTCCCAGGGAAACTGACCAGGCAGCTAATTCACTGGGTCCTGAATGTCCCCTAGTGGGTTTGGAAGGAAAGGGGCATTGCCTGTCCGAGGAGGTGACTCCATCATATGACTCCTCCACATCTTGTTTCCAGATTCCATATTCCTCCTCATCGCCCGGCACCTACGTGGTAAGTGTGTGTGGGCTTGGGCCCTCGCACGTCTAGTCAATGTGGCTGTGTGTGCAGGAGAGCTACTCCAGAGTCCCTGTCCACTTGTGTTCTGAGCGCCAGTTCCAAACTGCTAGGACTGAATGCTGTCAGTATTCAGGCACCTGTGCAAGCCTGGGGTGGCCCCAAAACCCCTCAACAAGACCTGGAATAGTCTTCTCCTGGGGAGCCGCCTGCTTACTGTTGAGCTTCCCCGTGGGCCTCTGCTGTCATCAGCCGGCCTACATGTGAGCAGGTGTGCACACACGTGTGTATGCCACAGGTGCTCTTGACTTGCAGAGAGGAAGCAGAGTGTCCAAACCCAGCTCCCCTCGGGCTTAAGGCTGTGGCTCCAGGTGAACACTGGAGGGTTAGCCGATGAATGCTGGGCTGCTCACTAGGAGAGCGAGCTTGGTGGCCTTTTCCCCCAGCTGTCCCCACTGTGGGTAACTGATATGGTTTTTAATCTCATCTCAGGGACCCCCTGGTGGTGGTGGCCCTCCAGGAACACCCATCATGCCTAGTCCTGCAGGTAAGAGGGCTTGAAGGGATGGGGTCCTGGTGAGGCTGGTGGTTACTAGGGATTCATAGAAGGCCTGGTACAGAGCCCATCCGAACAGCCACTCCTTCCTGAGCAGTGTATCTTCCACTGGGCATTGTGACACCTGGGGACCTGCGGGGCTATAAGCCATTAAGACCACCAACCCACTGTATGCCTGTACGTGACATCTATTCCTTTTCTCTGATGCTGCTTTTTAAAGAACAAGGCCAAGCACAGAGGTCAGGAAATAGGGTCTCATTGCCCTGGTTCTCTCTTGTGAGGGAGAACCCTGTCCTGGGTAAGCATTGCCCTGAATGACTCAAAAAGGGCTTTGGGGCCTGGAGGTGTAGCTCAGTGGTAGAGTGGCAGAGTGCACAAGGCCCGGGGTTCAATCCCCAGAACCACCACCAAAAAAAAAGACTGGGTTCATGACTCAGCAGTAGAGCGCTTGCCTAGCATATGTGAGGCACTGGGTTCAATCCTCAGCACCACATAAAAATAAATAAAATAAAGGTATTGTGTCCATCTACAACTAAAAAAACAAATTAAAAAAAGAAAAGAAGAAAAGGGGCTTTAGCACTCTGGCATCCTCAGGACCAGGGTACTGAGCATGATCCCTCCAGAGTTTTCAGAGCTCTAGATTTCTGGTCCTCTGTGTAGGAAATCCCTTCTCTTTTGCTTTAATCAGAAGAGGGCATGCCTGCACACACATGGATAAGTGCACACATGCATACACACAAGTGTCACAGCTCTTTCTCAGCTAAGAATAGAATACCAGCCATCAACACAGTCCCTACCTGCCACAAAACAAAAAGTGAGAGAGGTGGTGAGGACATGTGCCCTAGAAATGATGCCCACTCCTGTAGAAATATATTAGCTAATTTTCTAAGGAGACCTTTGTGGCTGAGTGGGGGGGACTGAGGCGACCCTCCCCCACCTGCTCCTTAGCTTCCCAAACAGGGAAGCTGCTCAGCTGCAGGGGTGGCGCTGGTGGCGGCCTGCTCCGCTCCACTCCCTCCTCCGCTGCTGCATTTGATGAGCTGCGTGACCTACATTCCGCTGGGTCACATTAACCCACTCCGTGTGTTCATGTGTCTCCAGCCCCGTCCCCGCCTCTCCCGCCTGCGCCCTTGGCTCGGCAGGGCGGCCCCTGGGTAATTTGCAATGTCTCCCTTTCCCTGATTTGAATTGAAGCCGCTGGGCAGGGTGGGGGGACGCAGGGGTTACCTTGCTGGCGTCCCTACCTTGTCCCGGGCAGTGGGGAGATGAGGGTGGAGACTGTAACTCAAATGCCATGTCCATGCTCCTGTCCAGACATTCTGAAATTCTTGGTTTCGTGGTTGAGTGGTTTTCACAGTTGAATTTTCTGTGATTAAAAACTTTGTGAATCTTCATTAAATACAAATTAGCCAGAAAATGGTGGTACTTAGAGGAAATTTTAGGTGATAAAATACAAAAGAATGAGTTCAAGTGCCATGAGTTTGTTTTAATTAAGAAATGAATTAATCACCTCGACTTGCGGGTTTCCACTGTTCTACAGATTCAACAAATTCCAGTGACAACATCTACACAATGATTAATCCGGTGCCGCCTGGAGGCAGCCGGTCCAACGTAAGTCTGCTTTCTAATAATTTACATATCAGATACCATAACAAATCATAATTAACTTCATCAGCTGAGGGGAAAGCCAGTTTAATTGATTTCAGCCATTTGTTACCAAAGATGAATAAAATAAACTGTCAGAAAAGTGATTAACTCTTGGGCACTCAGCTCCCATTCTGTAGCTGGCAAGATTGGGAGAGAAGGGGCGGGGCAGTGCCCACCTCTGGTCAGACCCTCTTGGAGGACCAGAGCTGTGTGGGGTGCTGCCAAGGAAAAGCACGAGGCTACAGGGGTCTGGGCCAGTCCCTGCTCTGCTGACTGGCAAAGCCATCTGGACAATCCCCCCTGCTGCCAGGCCTCTGTCCTTAGCTGTGGAGTCAAGGGTCGAGACCCCGCAGGAACCTGTGGCTTGTGTGGGGTCCTGCCTGCCTGACCTTCCTCCCCTGAGCTCTGATCCCTGGGCCTGCAGTTCCTTCACCTCGGCTCAGGCTGTGCTCCTGGAAGCCACTCCCTTCCTCCTTCCTTAAAGTTTCCACCTTTGAACGATGGTGCAGCTCTGATTCCACCTCACAGCCTCCCTCCGTGTTCCTAGCCCACTGACTAGGACTCTCCTGCGAAACTCTGTCTGCTTCCTGCACCCACCAGAGAGCTCCCTGAGGCCTGAGCCTAGCCTTGTCCACTTCACAGACAACCTCCCATGCCATTCATCCCCTCCTTCCTCTAGGCGGATGTGTGTGTGTGTGTGTGTGTGTGTGTGTGTGTGTGTGTGTGTGTGTGTGAGTGAGTGAGAGAGAGAGAGAGAGAGAGAGAGAGAGAGAGAGAGAAGTGGTCTGCCCTTCAGGGCACTTGGGTCTGGAGAGCAACCTGGGGCCTGCAGTGCCTAGCAGTGGGCTTGGGTCACATTCATCTTCACCTGGCCGAGTGGACGGAGCTGTGAGGGCACTTCTCTTTGGTTTTGTTGTCCCAACTCCTGAGGTGACACCTGAATCACCCCGCTTGTTATACCCTGAGTATGTGCTGCCTCAGGCTGGACACACACACGGTTGATTGTGGTACTGGGCATTGAACCCAGGGCCTCACAAATGTTAAGTGCGTGCTCTTCGATCAGCCCCACCCCAGCCCTGGATATGTCACGTGTTTAATCTCTGCTGCAGCCCTCTAGGTCAGGCTTTTTGGCTGGCCCCCTTTGCCCAGAGTGACTGGTCTCCCTTCTCTCCTGGGCAGCCAGCACCTTCCACCATCCCAGCTTCACTGCCACCTCCTCTCTAGAGTGACCAGTCGTACAAATTTTAGCACTAAGAGCTCTGCACCCGAGAAACCCCAGGGCATGAAAAGTCCTGGGTTTTGGCATTGGATGCAGAACACTGGAGAGAGTGGGAGAGTACGGAACTCTCCAGAGGCCAGGAGACAAGATAGAGTGCTGTTTTTAAAGTCAGGTGGACATGGCATAGAACCAGGGTCACTGTCCTATGTTTCCCCTGACCATGGATGCTGGCAGTCATGACTTGTTGGGCTGTGGCCACAGGGTGCCGCCGTCACGGGCCTCAGAGTCTGCCTCTGGCTGCTGCAGGTTTGCTCCTGTGCTCTGTGTCTACAGTGCTGGTTTCATTTGCCATTGTGAATATTGTGACCATGTTTCTAAGAGATCATTGAAGTGAGCACGGTGACAATGCCAGCACCAGCGTGACCCAGACAGCACTAAGGACAGCTGGATGACTATGTCTTTTTAATAGTAGGTTGAAGTTCACACAGCTGGATCAGGTGTGAGGAATCCAAATGGGACCCACTGCACAATGTGCAGAAAAGAATTTGGGCTTGGACGTGGCAGGGAGAGGGATGTGGAAGCACAGTGGAGGCTGGATATCCCCCGCCCCCCGCCCCGGTGTGGGATGAAGGCCCATCCTTCTAAATCAAAAGTTTCTTTTATCCTCCAAAGAGACACCAATACATAGTCAAAAATAGCGGTTGCTGAATTAGCTTGGGCATACCCTGGAATGAACACCATTATCATCTCATTCCCTTGATTGCGCTGTGAACCAAGAAGGTTACGTTTCCTGATTCAGAGGTTGCAACTAAAAGTTATATCTGTGAACAACAGGGAGGGGGAATTTTGACAACAGAGCACTGGCCCCTTAAGTGGAGCTGATTCTGTCTGAGCTTACTAACAGCTGTGCTCTTTGCAGCGTATCAAGTGATTCCTTAAATCTTAGCAACAAAAATCACTTCCTGACTGAGTGGGGATGTGGCCCAGTGGTGAGCACTCGCTAGCACTCCAGGCCCTGAGTTTGATCCCCAGCTCTAAAAACAAACAAAAACCCCCCAGTTCCTGCTGGTTCTTTCATGTGTTAATTTGAAAACTAGAGTTTTAAAATGACTTGATTTTAATGAATATGCAGAAAACAGAAGATAATTGTTCTCTTGTCCATATACAAACTAGACTTGGCTTATTTGTCTGCGTGTTCAGCAAAGAGTACACAATTAATGTTGGCAAATTTTATTCCGTCTATAAGCTTTTCACCAAAGAAGTGAATATCTTACCTGGACACCGTCCTGCACACCTGGCCCCCACCACTGCCGCAGAGGGGTATGCTTTGCCCACCGGGGATACCGGCTTTCATAATGAAAGCTCTTGGTCACTTTTTAATTTCCTCAAAGCATGCAGATGTTCAACTTCGTAGAAACAGAAAATGCCTCAAACACATGGCCACAAGGTGACGTGACGATAATTGTTCCTAGCCATAGAAAGGGCATTACCCAAAACTCGATTTTAAGCCACAAAACGAGAAGGATGTGCATCTCTAATGTGGAAAGCATTGAGGTGAAAATGGAAACAGGAATTACACCAAGAGAGGGGTGCGCTGTTCCTCCCGGACCATGCGATCATCTCAAAAAGAGGCCACGAGGAACCCAGGGGTTCAAGCACACCTGGATTGTTTCGTGTCACGTGGAGGTTGCAGCAAAACCTCATGCCACAGAAACAATGACTCATTTTTTCAAAAATGAGACTGCTTGAGAACAGTCAAAAAGTGTCACGAGAAAGAGCAGCCAAGTTAAACAGGACTTTTTCAGCTTATTAAAACTTACTTGAAATACAACTTGTATCTTACAAGTTCAAATCACCTCTTGGCTTCAGAGACCTTTTTTCCGCAGAAAAAGAGCTTTCATTCACAATGACATCTTCCTCATGTGTGCTTCATGGTGTTTGCAAATGCTGGACATTGCCGCTGGGGATAGCCCATCTTCTGAACTAGCAGGTGCGAAGGCCCTGGCTGACATGCAGCTGATCCAAAGCCAGCCTGCAGACATGAAGTGGTGTTCATCTTGGGGAGCTGGAGGTTGCTCCTGCAAGTCCACAGACCTGTGCTAATAGTGAAGTCATAAGTGCTTGGTATGTGAGTGAGTTTGTGGAGGAGATAGTTCAGTGTCGTGCTGCACTGATACGGGATCAGGGTAACATGGTCTTGATGAGAGCACAGTGACAAAGCCAGCGAATTTTGTCTTACTATATTCAGTTTTACCACTACATAAAAAAAAAAGCCCATGCCTGTAATCCCAGCAACTTTAGAGGCTAAGGCAGGAGAATCACAAGTTCAAGACCAGCCTCAGGAACTTACTGAGGCCCTAAGCAACTTAGTGAGATCCTGTCTCAACATAAAAAATATAGAGGACTGGGGATATGGCTCAGTGGTTAAGCGCCCCTGGGTTCAATCCCTGGTACCCATAAAAAAGGGAAGAAAAGAAGAACATGCTACGCACGATGGCGCACACCTGCAACCCCGCAACACTGCAGCTGAGGTGGGGGAAATTTGAGTTTAAGGCCAACATCAGCAATTTAGCAAGTCACTGTCTCAAATTTCTAAAAAGTAAATAAATAGGGCTGGGGATATAGTTCAGTGGTAAAGTGCCACTTGGTTCAACCCACAGTACTGCAAACAACAACAAAAATCCTAACTTTCAGACAAGTAACGCTGGGAAAGGAAGCAGAGCAAAAATACCCTACCCTGTCAAGGGCCAGAAGGAGCAGTTAAATTATTGACTGTGTCTGAGGACAGAAACAAAAATGTTATGTTTCTCACATTTCTCATTGGTGAACCAGTTCTCTGTGCTGATGGCTACTGTTAACTAGTCTTATTGTTCTATGTTGGTAGCATTTATGTAATAGAAAAGCAAATAGTACGGAATAAATAAATGGGAGAACTGAAGATGAAGACCAGTGAGGCTGGACTATTTCCTTACACCTGTGCACAAAAATAAGCTCAAAGTTGATCACAAACTGAATATCAGTGAGCTAAAACATTTAGAAGAAAATACAGGAGTAAATCCAGTGACCTGAGTGAAGCAAAGCCTCCTTGGATACAACACCAAAACACAAGCAATAAGACAAAAAAAAAAAATGGATAAATTCAGATTCTTTTGTTGTTGTTTTTGGTTTTTGGGTTTTTTGTTTTGTTTTGTTTTTTTCTTCAAAGGAAACCATCAAGAAAGTTAAATGGGACACAGTGGCACATGCCTGTAGTACCAGCTACTCCGGAACCTGAAGCAGGATCACCTGAGCACAGGAGTTTGAAGCTATCCTGGAAACATGGTGAAACCCTTTTAAGAAAAGTTAAAACAGATAACTCCCAGGATAGAGAATTTGCAGCTCCTACATCTATAAGAGACTTGAAAGAAATTTATATGAAGAACTCTTGCAGCTCAATAATAAAAAGACAACTGAATTAAAAATGGGACAAAGATGTAAATAGATATTTTCTTCAGAGAAGTACAAGTAGCCATAAGCCCAGGAAAAGATCCTATCATCATTAGTCATTAGGAAATGCGAGTTAAGACACAAGTTACTCTTCAGACCCACGAGGGTCTCTGAAGTCAAAAAGGTAGAGATTGGTGCTTGGGAGGATCTGAAGATCTCCTGCACTGCTGTCGAGTGGTGTGGCCGCTGAGGAGTAGTCTGAATGTCCCTAGAACACTTAGACATAGTTACCTGTAGTTACCTGAGCCAGCAGTCCCACTCCTGTGTATCTAAGAGGTGAAAACATGTATCCACATGATAATTTCCACACAGATAAATGTAGTAGCACTAGTGTTAGTAGCCAAAAGTAGAAACAGCCTGAATGAACCATCAGCTGGTGAATGGATAGGTAAAATGTGGCATAGGCATACAATGGACATTTATTTTCCATAAGAGGGAATAAAGTACCGGTTCACGCAGCAACACGGATGAATCATGAAAATATGATAAGTCAAAAAAAAATCGGCCATGAAAGGTCATAACAATCTGTATACAGCATCCAGAATAGAGACAAAATAAATAAATGGTTGCCCAAGACTGGGGGCCAGAAAGGACCAAGGAGTGACTGCTGATAGGTATAGAATTTCTTTCTGGGTGAAAGAAAGGTGGTAAAGTTGGTTGTGATAGTTGCATAACCCTGTGAACAGACTAAAAACCACTGAACTGTCCTCTTTAAATGGGTCAGTTGTATGCATCTGACTATCTCAGTAAAGCTGTTAAGTAATACACAAGAAATACACAGTGACATAAAATTTCAAGTCAAAACCTAATTTTTGTATATTTACATTAAAGTTAAGACCACATATGAATGAGGACATATTGTTAGCATGTTTTGGGGGGCAGTGTTTGCCTTGGTTAGCTTCCTGAAAGTCGGTAGCCCTCATCCTCCTATCAGTTTTGCTGATCAGGATGAGTTTTGTTGTTAGAAGGCAAAATGTGAGCAGGAGCCAGGTTAAAGACAGGGACTGTGTGGCCCAGGAGAGTGGCTCGGCCCACCCACAGTGAGTGGGCCATTCTCCCACCTGCTCTGCTCTGGCACTCCGCCCTGCCATCCTCTACATGGACTTTCGCTCACACAGGACCCCTACAGCGGCTTCTATGCCTGCTCTCTTGCCCAAATTTCTACCTTTTCGTTATTTCTGTGTCCCCCACACAGCCTGTTCTCGTGTCACTGCCTTTGTCTGTAACTGCACTGTATCTGCAGCTGTCTTTGGAACTCTGTCCTGTGGGCTCCTCCTCCTCCCAGCCAAGGTGCAGGTGTGATTCAGCTTTGCGTCCTCAGCACTTGCTCAGGCCAGGTCCAGCAGCCCTCTTCCACACGTCCACCTCTTCCACCCGACATCCAGTCTGCCTCATGGGACCTTGGCCCTCTAGACTGGGCTCAGCCATCCCTCCCCAGACTTGTGAATTGTGGCCATGGATGTGACCTCCCTGGACTTTGCCTTCTTTCTGAGATGGTTTTGGTGGTTCCAGACTACCCTAAGCATGGGGTCAAAGTGATTCCCTCTGATGCTGGATCTGCCTGCACCATCAGCTCCGTGTGGAAGCCTCACATGTGCCCTGCTTCCTGCGTGGCCACTCAGCAGACCAGTCTCCTCTGCTGCCTGTGGAGCCCATATCTGAGCAGGGGCTTGGAGAAGGCTTATGTGACAGCCCAAGGGCAGGCTGCCAGGCTCCATTTTTAACCTCTGGCCGTGGAGACCCCAGGCAAAGCACTTCCTGTGCTCTACTTCAGTGTTTTTTTTTTTTTTTTTTAATCTGTAAACTACATATGAAAAGTACAAATAGTTTTGATTCTTGGGCCGATAGGGTCAGTCTTCTAGGTGCAGCTGTAACTGGTAAGCCTGGCACTATACCCCAGGGATAGAATAGTCCCTATGATGGGACCCAGGAGCCCGTGGTTGCTGGCTCTGTGTAGCCATAAGCAGGTCTCTTTTCCCTCTCTGGGTTCATTCCCTTACCTGGTACATGGCAACAAGGAGAACCCACCAGGCAAGAGCCCTGTGCAGCTATGGGCCCTTGGAGTTGTTGGCTAACTTTGTTGAACAATTGGCTGGGCACAGGGCCCCCTGAGGGGTGCAGAGAGCCCTAGGCCCACTGAGCTGTGGTCTGTGCTTTTCCTTCAGTTCCCCATGGGTCCTGGCTCAGACGGCCCGATGGGTGGCATGGGCGGGATGGAGCCACACCACATGAATGGATCTTTAGGTAAGCTGGCACCCGCTCCCTGGCCTGCCCTCCCCTCCCTGGACAGCTTCCCCTTGTCCTCAACTGGCTCAGCTTGGCCTGGTACACAGCCTAGGCCATGTCTGGGGACCCAGAAAATTCTCTGCATGAAAGTAGCTTGGGGTTGGGGTGGAAGGGCTTGGGAGCTCAGGGAGGGAGGTCTCAGGTAGTGGAGCCCCCTCCCCCACCACCATGTGAGCAGAAAACTGAATTGCATTCTTTTTCCTTCCAGGGTCAGGCGACATAGATGGACTTCCAAAAGTGAGTGTGCGTTTATTGTGTCCTCCCTGATGGTACCCATCCCTGAGGGCAGGTTGTTGGGGACAGGCTCACCTCCTCTCCTCTCTCCACAGAATTCTCCTAACAACATAAGTGGCATTAGCAACCCTCCAGGCACCCCGAGAGACGATGGCGAGCTGGGAGGGAACTTCCTCCACTCCTTCCAGAATGACAATGTAAGCTCCACTCCTCTAACCCCAGGGCCCTTCTCTTGACCCTATGCCTGGGAACCCTCTAGCTACCTGTGGGGTCTGGACGGGCCATATGCAGGCTGGACACCTGTGGCACTAATCAGCTGAGAAAGCCCTGGGCGCAGAGCGAGAGGCAGCACTGCCCCCGGGAGAGGGTTCTTGCAGCCGTCAGGGCCAGCCTTCCACTCTCCCTAGTGGACGTCCATCTACGCTTCCATTTGAAGAAAGCAACTTTTGAGAAGCCCAGATTGGCCCCCATCCCAGGGCACCCTCACAGAGCTCTGGCTCTCTGAACTCCAATTCCCGGCAGTCCCAATTTCCAAAGCGGGGTGATTCACAGAGGGGAAGGAACAGGAAGGCTGCCCTCACAGAGATGCCGGCTGGTCCGAGAGGTGGCCCTCAGCTCCACTTCCTTGCCCTGGCCTGGCCCTGCTGGCTCCCAGCCCCGTCGCCCCTGGCCTGGCCCTGTTCAGCTCTGGGCCACCCGACCTCCACAGCTATGGTCTCCTGGTGTTGTCCACCACCTCCCCGTACCTCAGCCCTGACAGCGTCCCCTCTGCTCTGTCCTTGCAGTATTCTCCAAGCATGACGATGAGTGTGTGATCCCCCCCCTTCTCCAAGACGCTGAGAGAGCCGGCATTGCAGGCAGGAAGATGCCAGACATTATGCAAGAAGAAGTGAGGTGTCGTTACCAGGAGCTGGCGGGGGGTCTCCCCGCTCCCCATAAACCTCCCCCCACCTTTTCCCATTTTTAGTTTCATGCAATAAAAAGGCCGAACTTTTTATTCCATAAAACATGAAGGACAAAACTCAAAAGTAAAAATATATTTCAAATCAGTGACCAGAAAAATTCTACTCCTTGCTACTTCCCAAAAGGACCTTTTCTGTACATGACATTTTTTTTTTTTTTTGTCTTTTGTTTTTGTTTGTTTGAGATTTCATCATTGCTGGGATTTTTTTAAATTTGTTTTCAGGGGTTGGGGGCATTTTTTTTAAAAAATGGAAGCTTCTAGCAAGCCCCCAGCCCCACCCCAATCAACCTCTTTGCTTTCTTCTTTAAAAAAAAAAAGAAAATGAAAAAAAGTTTAAAAAAAAAAAAAAACAAGAAAAAGAAAAAACCACAAGCCCTGCAGTCTGTCTGTCCCAAGCCCTTTTACCAGGAAAGCTAGTCTAGGTGTGACATGTCACACTGTCTCTGTAGCCATCTAAAAATAATAATAATAAACTGGACAGTTTACAATCGGTGGTTTCTTTCAAAAAGCTGTTTTTGGAAAGAAAAGAAAAGAAGTCACCCTTTACCACTGGGGGTTTGTTTGGGGAGGGGGGACCTGCTTTGTTTTTGGCATGGTTGGCAACGGCAGCACTCCTGGACCCCCAAACCCACCCATCATGTGGCCAGAGGGGCCAGACCATCCGACCCCCTTCCAGGATTCCCCATGGCCGAGACCGTCGCTGTGACCCGGCGCCTGCACTGTGTTCCCAGGACTGCTTCCTCTCCTGGACCTCTCCAGCCCCTCCTCAGCCCCCACCCGTCCTCCCAGCGAGAGTCCTGCCAGCTGGGTGGCAGCCTGCAGCAGCGTAGGGAGGCCACCGCTGCCAGGATGGCTATGACCTGGGGCGTGGAAACTGACCTCGTGTTCCGCCCGAGATCCTCGCATCCTCGTCCCATGTCCCGTGCACGGGCAGGGTGGCTGGAGTTTTGGTTTTCTTTTTCTCTATTCGTCCTTCGTTTTCAAAGATGGAATATTGACCAGAATTGCTCTGTATGTGCTTGGAACTGGATGGAAAGACTTTGGCATTGCTGGGGGGTGGGGGGAGAACCAACAACCAAACAGACGCGCTGTTTCCGGTCCTGTTTTTATTTTCAAAAACCGACAAACCCGATGTGGAGCCTGTCCCCTCCTAGGAGGGGTGACTCATGGCCTCCCTCACCTCACCCCCATGGAAACCTTTGTGTCTTGCCCTGGAAGACACCCAATTCTTTGTACATTTACACTCCCTTCTCCTGCCCCCTCCCTCCCCCGTAGCTGGTCTTTGTTTTATTACCCCCCTTTCTGATCCATGTATATCATATTATGTGAGATACCATCTGCCTGAAAAAAGACCTTGTGCGGATTATTGGGAACATTGTAGCTGTTGCTGTGTTTTTTCTTACCTTGTAGTCTGGTTCTGAATTAAGAGAGGAAAAAAAAAAGTAATTATGATACATTGTAGTTTGTGTACGATATATGTTGATAACGTTTTATTAAAGGGACATCTTTTTTCCGCAGCAGCCCTTCCTGACATGTTTGGGGGAACGTGGGTTGGAGTTTATTATACTGATTACAAAATGCAAGGTGACTCCTTGGGCGCAGAGTTTTTGTTCCGGAACATAACAAGATTGTTTTGTGTGGAAGGCCTCTACCTTCTCTTTCAGTGGCAGCTTTGTTCTGCATTTTTGTTTTTGAGGATTTTTTTTTGCAGTGAGGATGGAACCCAAGGATACTTAATCCCTGAGCCACATCCCCATCCCTTCTTTGTTGTTATTGTTTTTTGTTTGTTTTGAGACGGGCTCTCACTAAGTTTCATAGGGCCTTGCTAAATTGCTGAGGCTGGCTTTGAACTTGTGATCCTCCTGCCTCAGCCTCCCACGTCACTGGGATTATGGGCATGCACCATCACATGTGTCTCTGTGGTTCTGCGGCTCTGTTCTGTGTTTTTGAGGGGAGTTGCAGTGGCCTTTGGGAAAGAAGCCTGGGAGAGGAGCATCTCCCTTTAAATATCTGGGGAACTGGGGAGAGCTAGCGTCAGGGCCTCCTGCTGCAGACACATTGCAGGTCACTGTAATGTCTTCCTGCTTCTGAAGGTAGAGAAAGGCCCTGATCCCTGTATGTCTGTGGGTCAGCAGCCAGGAGGGCCCTGTGACTGCAGCCACACCTGCCTTCTCTCCTCCAGTAGCCGACCTTGCTCTGCCAAAGACTCCCAGGCCTCATGTGTTTGGGACTGCAGAGTTGACCTGGGAATCCTTAGATCCCCAGGTTGAGAGGTTGATTTTTTTTTTTTTAACCCTCCAAGGCGATAGGGAGACCTTGAAGGATTTTAAGAGTGGCATAAATAGCATAAACTGGCCAGAATTTTAGAGGACTTACCAGATCGATCTGGAACGGGATGTGGGGCCAGCCATTACGTAGTCAAGACATGCTGAGGGCTAGGGGGAGAGCAGCAGGCAGCAGGGGACGCTGATTTGCACAGTGTTGAGAAAGAGCTGGAGCTCTGGGGACTTCCACCCAGACCTGCAGCGTGGTGACAGGGGAGGCAGTGCCCAAGCAAAGCGTAGGCTGAGTCCACATTTACTGGGATCTCATGGGACCACATTGCAAATAGCCAGGCACAAATCTTGTCTTTGCACTACTTGCTGTGTGACCACAGACAGGCCTCTGTGCCCGGTGTCATAAAATGGGGATAATGGTTTACCACCTTAACAGGGTTATGAGAGTAGTCGTCATTGTAAACAAAAAGTGCCTACAAAAAGCACAACAGTGCCTCCTGGGTAATAAGAGCAGGATATGTTGGCCACGGTTGTACTGGGGAGGCTCCAAATGGTGGGATGGGGAGAAGCTGGGGAGACCTAGATGATTCCTTTTGACTCTTGCCTCCTCACCTTGAAACAAGGTTTCCGGGGCTTTTCCTCGGCATAGACACTTTGCTGCTGTTAGAGACACTTTCCTGTGGACACGTGAGATTTGGGCTGTGACTGGCCTGAACAGGGTTTTGCTGCCACCTGTGTACCCTGAAACAGTGTTCTGCAGACAAGCGCCATGGTGGGGGCACTAAGCAGACAAAAACCCACAGCCCACCTCTGCCTGGGGAAGGGAGGTGACAACACACTTCCCATCATCTCACGGCCTGTCCCCTCCCCAAGCAGTCCCCATAGTCCATGTCACAACACAAACCACCCTGTGAGGCTCAGTTCAGGGTGGCTATCTCAGGGCCCAGTCCTCGAAGAAAGGACTGGTCCTTGTTCACCAGTGCTTCACTGCCCTGCCCTGCCCAGCCCAGGCCAGAGCTTTGCACCGAGCCACTGAGGATCCTGAAGGAAGGCAGTGAGGAGCTGATCCCACCTCCCCAGGAGGCACCAGCTCATCATGGGAAGGGCAGGCAATGAGCCAGGACTGAGGCTCTGGTTGGCACAGCCACTGCCTTCCTGCTAGCTCTGGCTACCCACAGTCACCCGATTCTAGTGGGCTGGCCAGTCAGGCTGGCCAGGCTGGAGGCCCACAGTGCATTCCTTCCCTCTCCCTGCTGGATACCCCTCCCCCCAAACAGCAGCACCACCAGCCTATGTGCCAGAAAAGGAGCCCAGAGGCAAATCAGAGGGGACAGCCAGAGCAGGACTTCCACTGGGGCTGTGGCTGTCAGCCTGAGGAACCCCACCCAGCCTCTGATGTCCTTGAAGTGTGTGTGTGGAGCAGGAAACTCCCAAGATCCCACTCCAGGAGATAGAGCCCAAAGCACCCCTGGGTGGTGCAGGTTCTGGCCCTGAATCAATGGAGTTGGGCCTTGTGGGGCTCAGGCCTGTCTCCAGACCTGTCTGCAGTGCTGGGGCTCCCCCAGGGCTGGGGTGGAGGAGCTGGGCAGGGAAGGATAAAGGGCTAGAGGCACTGAACCTACTCTGCGCAGSCCTGGGCTCACTGGGTACAGGCACTGGGGGCTTAGTGTTGGGCCTGGGGGTTGGAGAAAAAAGCAGACATCGAGGTTGGGGCCGGCAGGGTGCTGAAGGAAGGGGGTCCATTCTGTCCTGTGCTGTTGCTTCCTCCTGTCCATTTCCAGAATGCGGTGGAGTCCCGGTCCTGGCAGCTGGTATCTAGGCCTGGCTTCCTTGCCTCCATCTCAGCCCTTCTGAGGCCATGGAGTTCTGGTGGCTCTGAGTCTGCGCAGGCTCTTCTTTCATCCATTCATCACGTTTGCTGAGGCAGAGACGGTTCTAGCGCTGGGGAAACAGTAGCGCAGTCCTGGAGGGCTGGCAGTGCCCTTCGCAGAGGGGGTCAGGCAGCAGGAAGAGCTGTTTGGGTGAGTTAAACTGAGGTGCTGATACAACATCCAGTGAAGAGGGCAGGTGGGCAGGGCTGGGGGAGACACTCGGGAGCCATTGGCATCTGAATGAAACTGGTAGTAGGAGTCAGGCTGAGATGATCTGAGCAGTGAATGGAGAAGCAAGCCTGGGCCCTGGTGTATCGTGTGTCAGTGATCAGAAATCTGGGAAAACTGCAGGGACCAGCGAAGGAGGCAGAGACGTGAGGAGGAGAGCAGGAGTGAGGTGCCCCAGGGCCAAGTGAAGGAAAATGGTGCCAGGGCACATGTCTCAGGCTGTGGGAGGCCCTGATGTGACACCCACCAGGGCCTTGGGGCCTGGCACACTTCCCATCTTTTGGCCCCTGCAGGGACGGCTCTACAGGCTCTCCTGCCTTTTCTTGGCCCTCTGCACGTCATCCCCAGCTGCATACAGGTTTTGCCTGCTCGGGGCCTTCATCCTCACCGTGCCCTCCCTGCATGGACCTCTTCAACTTACCCTGGAGAACCTCGCTCAAACGGCCCCTCTGCCAGGAAGCCTTCTGGGCTGGCCAGCTCTCTGGATCCAGGGTCCCTGTGCAGCAATAGTTTATCAGTGCTTGCCTCCCCCAAGCTGGGGACTGCCTGTCATTTGTCCTCAAATCACTCAGCACAGGGCCTGGCTCCTGGTAGGTACTTAGTGAGTGTTTGTGGAATAATGATTGCTGGGTACTCACCCCGGTGCTCAGTGGCACCCCCCCTCCATTGCACACTGTCATGGGCCGGTGCTCAGGTGTGGGAAGAGCCTTCATTGGTACCTGCTACCACAGACCCAAAGAGACTGGGGACTCCTGGGGGAAGGGTCCATGTCTCTCTCATTCTTTAGATACTCATCCCTAGATCCCGAGCACAACACCTGGCAGACAGTAGGTACTTCTAAAATGATCTGAATGGCCCAGCTGCCCCCAGGAGGTCTGTAGTAGAGACCTACAGACCTATAGGGCTGGGTCCTCAGTAGTGACCTATTCTTGGGTTCCATCGTTAG